TGCAAATAAATATAACATATTATATCATGTAATAATATATATTGCAAATGATGTCTCAAGATGTTGCATCTTTGTCGAACGCTACGTATACTGTACGCTACTCTACACTTCGCAGATCGCAGCCAAGGCTCACAAGGTACCGGATGCTGCATCTGGCATGGAGAAGCACCACATGCCGTATGCGCCAGCTGCTGCGGCATCTGCGGCATCTGTTGCGGCATCATTGGCGCATGCGGCATGGACGTCTGAGGCCCTTGAGCCTGAGGCCTCAGGCGGAAAAACATCGACTTGGAGAATCGATTTTCACCACGGCTGGTGTAGTTGTTGCTCGTGTTTGCCAATGTTTGTCAGCGAGCATGGTGACTGGTGTCTCACGGTACACCACACTGTGTACACTTGATGTTGAATTGGAGGAATGCAGCAGGACCACTTGGAAACGCTGCCGATGCCTGGTGAGATTCCCAATCAGGTCAGTTCTCGTGTCTTTCTGCAGTGGGGTTGGATGCAGTCGGATGTGGTTCACTTGTGGCAAAAGAAAAACCAACCTAATAATCTAATCTAACAACATCTGGCAACCACATGGTGCAATCTACATCATAAGTTAGAACAACTTGGAGGAAAACCGCTCAAAGCCCTGCAAATCAAGTAAGAACAACATGATGCTTCACAAGCCTAAGTCAGTATTGGTGAGTACAGTGCTCCATCTTTGATTCATAGCATGACAAACTTCCATCTCAACCCTCCCCATTGCTGTTTTGGAACTACTCGTTTTACCCCTGGCCAACAAACTTGACTTGAATTGGTAGAAATCCGTCTAGACAAGGTCGTCTTCCGGCCATCATCTACGTCACCATCTCCAGAAGTGCCCTTCGGCATCTTCATGGCGTCGCATTTCTCGGTGCCCTTTAGCATCCAACGGAGAACGGAATCCTGCCCTGCGACCAAGAGGCATCCGCCCCCGCATGGGCACGGCCTTAAAACACGGTGAAAACGCGGTTCTTCTGCCTGGATACTGATCTTCGACCCAAGGATACGGGATGCTGGATACTGATCTTCTGCGCACTCTCAATGGCCTTGACGCGCACCCCAACAACAGGGTTCTAATCCAAAGAAAAGATCACTTTTCAGAGGTTCTAGTTCCAAACATTGGGAGGTTCCCAAAAGAGGCCTCGAGTAGTATGGATGGAATCGACTCTGGATTCATTGGATGGATTTGTGCCCTTCTCAATCTCCTTACTACTTAATTTAGAGTCCGGGTGTTTGTCAGAGTGCGCTGTTTTATGATTTTAAGTAGTGTTATAGCATACTATTTATTTAAATATATTTCCTTTAAAACATATTTTTATTAAATAAACTACAGTATATGTCTAACGACTCATGCCTTAATAATGGACGGTTAAATCCCTATGATGTATAATATTGTTGTGCTAATTTTGTTGCAATGTTTTCTACTGTATATTCACCTTGTAAAAAATGACTTGTTCTCTATTTCTCTGTGATTGCTTTATTCCTCATTATTTTTACCTTGTCTCCCACCTCTAATGTTGGATACATCTTTTCTTTCCTTGCTTTTCACTGATACATTCAATTTTGCTTTAAACTCATTCTTCTCTTTCCTTGCTTCATTTGGTGTTAGTCCTGTTGCACTATGCACATATTTATTACTATAAGTCAGCATTCTTTCTAATATGTAGTCAATCCATTGTATAGTCTGCTTTCCGTTCTTCTCATCAAGTTCAACTCTTTTAAATAGTTTAAAGTATCTTTAAATGTCCTAATAAATCTCTCAGCGAAGGCAGGATGTCCCCTTGCCCTGTATAATTCAATGCCTTCACCATCCACATATTCTTTTAAATCAGCACTTACTATACCTCTTTCATCATCAGTATACAAAATTTTGCATTTCTTTCCCATTTTTTGTAAGCCTTCCATAGTTCCAGCAATTATGTCAGGTGGGGTTTTACTCTTTATTGGCACTACCACAGCATATTTACTCAGAACATCTATCATTACTAAACCCGCTCTGAATTTTTGTGTTGCTTCAATGTCATCAAGTGATATAAAAAATATGTCACGTTGGTAGGTATGATTATTATGAGGTGCTACAAAACTGTTCTGACCTCTTTGTTGTTTTCTTTATCTCAACATTTTTTCTAAAAAACATTCTTCAACATCAAACATTTTTATTTCAGAATCTTTTTTTGGCATCTCTTAAAGTTGTTGCTTTACTTCCATAACCCGCTCTATCAACATATACATTATTCAATATGTCTTGCTTTGAACTCATTATATAAAATAATATAACTATTTTTGATTTTTTTTTTTTTTAATAATCAGTGAGCACTACAATTACAATACTTACAGTATGGAGTGCAATTATCCACAGAATGGCACAGTGTATTGTCTAGTCTTTGTGCTGTGAAGTGTGATGATAATTTGCCTTGCTTCATTTCAATATAAAACTCTATTCCACAGTGGGCACAACAACCATGGACATGATTCAAACACCAATGTTCATTAATATAGTGTTCTTCATCTATTTCTCTATCAGCCACTTTATCCTGTTTCTTGTATCCTTCAATCTTGTTTTAGAATATCCTATTACTAATTTATTTTGCATCTCTTCATCTGCTTTTTCATTCTTGAAAAAATATACATTGTTAAAATCCCTTGCTCTTGTGATACTGCACCACAACCATTCTCTGCTTACTAGATATGATTTTTGCCATTCATGTATTGTAATGTTTCCTCCTATTGATGTCCCCTGTCTGCTTGGGCCGCCAGATAGAGAAACCAAAAAAAATGAAAAACAAACAACACTATTTCAGAACTCTTTCTGCAGAAGCCCCAAGTTCAAAGACCTCTGGTGTTTTGTGTTTTTTTTGGAGACCCAAGATTCCCAAACCTCTGGAAAATTGTATTCTTTTGTATTTATGAATACTCAAAGCATCTGGTCATATCTGAAATGTCTCTATCTGTGGCAAAATTTCCAGAAAAACATCTGCAAATCAATGGAAAACCGCACTCTCAGGGACACCCGTTCTGTTAATTTATTACTCTTTGTTGACTTGTTTGCTGGGCTTGACATCATGATAAACCGCTGTTCCTGACACATCGTTGCTAACACTGGGATGAAATTCGTCACTGGAACCTCCTGCATCCTCCTGCCCATTGGTAGGAGCATCCAAAACGGAATCAATTAGGGCCTTGAACATTCGCAGTGGACCATCTTGTTCGTCGCTCTGGGGCGAGATTTTTGCACTGAAATACTGGTAGGTGAGTCGTTCCACGTATAGGACCTGAGTGACCAATAGTAGAAACAAGAATCTCGCCATTTCCATGCCCTTTCCTATTGTTATCTATTGTTGAAACAGTCTCACATGGGTTCGGTGTCTATCTCCAACGGCCCACCATGCAGAAATCACGCACATTCATGCCAAGCTTCCATTGGGCAAGCAAGCAAACTGACACGTTGCAGTACGCTTTGGTTTCTGCAGGCTATGCCGAGGTAAGTACGTGGTGTTGTGGCTCATGATCCTTCAATTCTCTAGATTGCCCACCAACCGAATGCAAGCAGGTCTCTCTTCATGTCTCTTCATAATGGTTTTAACTCATATATCATATTGTCTCAAAATGGTCAAACGCCAATCATACCTCCTCCATCAATCGGCGTTTCCATGGGTCCTTCACACTGTCTGCTGATCCGTTCAGGGTTGTGGATGAGATGTCTCCGGTGGCGTTCCTTCGGTCCAAAGGGGCTCCAGCACAGGCGGCGATAGGGCACTGCTTGCAAAGCCGAATTGTCACCAGGGCATGACACAAGGGATTTAGGCCTTTGAGGATGGGAACCTGTACAAGGCTCATATAAGGGATAAGGGGTACACATCCTTTGTTCATGACCTGAAGAACCATTGAACAGAACAGGTTTGGAAGTTGGTCTAACTACCAATCCGTCCCAGGCGGGAAACCTTCCCATTCACAGTCTTGTCTCGGGGGTGTCATTCCAAGTAACCCTTCTCTACATTCAACATTTGGGTCAAGTTTTGTTAGTTTTGCTCAATACCGCACCTTCTCACCAGATCAAATCTGCCAGGTCTATACTACTCGATCATAATCTTCTTAGACTTCTGAGCTGGCAAAACTATGACAAACAAACATATCGAGCTGGGTATCATTTCGACAGTGCACCTGTGTCGACCATTTCCAATGATACCGCGCTTGGCAAACGGGGATCCCGACGTTTTCGCCTCGCCTCGCCTCTTGGATCAATTTGGCTTACAGCCTTCAAAGGCTTTCGAAATCTTTTGAAGGCCAAGTGGAGACATGGTGAGAAAAACAATTCTATGAGCAGAATTCTCAGGGTTGACACTCGAGGGAAAATCCAAAACATGTTGGAGGTCACGTACTATTGCATGTATAGAGTCCCACGCAGGGTCATCTATACCTTGGGTTTGGCCCTTGATTCCAGCTCAGACCCAAGGGTTCATTGGTTCACTCGATTCATGTAGCCAAAGGGTCCTGTTGATTGAACTGAGAAACCCTGGGACTGAGCAGGTCAAGGCCTCCGTGGTCTACGCTGATCCTGCAAAATGTCCGATTATATACTGTATATATATATATATATACTGTGCATCCATTTGGCCTGGCATCCAAGACCTGCAAACTTGAGATGCTACACAGTCTTGACTTATAAAATTGTCCCTGTCCGACACCTGAGAAGCCACAGACTTGAAGTACTTCTAAGCTTCTGTATTTCCAGCAACATTGCATCATTTACTTGTATCACCCAAACTGAACATCTGCCCAGTCCAATCTTCTGAGCTTCAGCTATGAAGGATTCAAGAAGAAAGAATCATAAACTGGCAAAACAACCGTTTGCGACCACACCACCCTTCTGACAGCATGTTCCAATCCAGGTCACTGACGGGTTTTATCCAACGTAATCAATCTGTCTTTCGACTGCATCCGCAAAGCACAAGTGCAGCACATCTGCAAAGCCCTTTTCAATGTCAGAGCTTTTTCTGCGGATCCGAACTCTCAGGCTTCCACACCTTGGCTTCCACAAGGTCAGGAGACAGTCACCGGCACTGAACACCCAGCAGTTCACGCTGGAGGAAATGGGTCAGTTTGACCCAGCAACATTGGCAAATGTGAACCCAGTCGAAGCTGAGATGTGAAGCAATGAGATGCCTTGGGGTTCCTTTGTGTTGCATCAACACTCGGTTCTCACCGCACACGATGTTTGTTGAAAAACACGGTTCTACCAAGGGTCCATGTGAACATGAAACCGTTGGCAAGCAGGCTAATGAGTCATGAGAGCCAAACCTGTCCAACACTTGTCAATATGTGTACAATGTTCAATGTTCAATATAACTAACATTGCCTGAACACCTAAACACCATCGACTTGCTATTTTCTGAACATTCCCTCTTGTAATAAGTGTTGTACGTCATCATACGTCGCCAATGAACCACTCTCTGGCCGCGCACCTGTTCGCTCATGGCTTTGGTTCACTGGCAAATCTATGGTGAAGACTGATGACCTCCCACAAGTCTCATACATCATCCACTGCCAAATAAAAGAATGGCCAAAACATGCCAAGAAGACCTTCAGAACCTGACCCCTCATGCTTTTGGTCCAACAAAGGTCCTATCGGGGCTCCAACCAGGGTGACCCACGGCCCGCCCGGGGTCCGCCCCTTGGGTCGCGTAACGAGCTGTTGCTCCTTGGGCGCGATCGCCGCATTCCACTGCTCCCAATCCTCACTCCTGGCGATTGGCCGGCAGGTTCTTCGAAGTCAACACCGGAGTTCTTTTTTTGGGGCCGCTGCCTGCGAGAGAACTACCAAGAACCCAGGGAACCCTCCAGTTGGAAGGATGAGTATGCTACATACATGATGTATATATAAATATATATATATATGTGTGTATTATGTATATGTTTATTTAGATACATACAGTTAGTAAACATGTAAACAGAAACGAGCATACAGAAAGGATCCGCCACAGCACTGAGCAATGAAGGTCATGAGTCTTGCATGGTGCCTTCTTTAGGCGCTCATGGAGTTTGGGAGTAAATGTCTGAGTCATCTATGTATGAATCTAAGCCTATCACCTTGTATACCCCACCAAGGGGCTCGTGGCCTTACTAGGAGCATAGTCTCAGGGGAGGGCACAGTGACAATCAGCCAACGGCCCATGGTCCAAACCCTCTTCGTTGGCGCGCCTTTTTGAGCGGATGGGCGCCAAACATGCCAATTGTTTGCTGGCGAAAGGTGTCCACCCCCAGCCATACCTCCTGTCCAAATCCTAGTCAGACTCGCTAGAGATGCGCGATTAGCAGAAGGGATCCATGTTCTTTTCGAGGAAAAGGATTGGAATTTCACCTCCTTTCGCCACTGCTCCACGTGCTTTCTGTGTGCAGAACAGGTCCCAATGCCAAGAGTGCTCGTTTCATGGTCCCACTGCTCCGTCGAAACCCAGTCGCACGTTGATCGCCGACGAGCGACTTGGTTTTGAGGGGACGCCGATGGGATTGTTAGCTTCATTCCAAACCCTGCCACTGCCACTTGTCAGGGGTCTTCACGTTCGTCTTTGGAGCGTGCTATGACCACCAGCGTACTACAGTTCCCCATCAAATAGGGCGGGTTCATCCACATCTGTCGGCCGCACTGGGTCTCCCCACGCCAACTCTCTAGCCTTCCAGAATGGCCAGTCGCGGAGTGGTTACGGGCCTTTTTGTGAAAGAACAAGTGGAGGGTTTATGTGAAATCATCTCCACTAGGTAGGGATAATGGGCTGTTTGGTTCCCCTTGACAATTCAATCTTAGGGAACATGAGGTCAAATCTGACTTGCCTGCAGGGCATATATCTTTCTTCTGGGAGAACAGGGGAATGGCAACAGGTCTTTGCACAAACCTCTTGTGTAATTTCTACACAGTCAGTGACTCAGTGACATATAGTGTAATTCAAAACAAACACACACACACACACTGACTGACTGACTGCCACTGGGGGAAACACGATTTGCAGAAGTGCGACGGATGCCACTGACGCGGCCGCCACTAATACGGGGAAGGCTGGGACGAAAGAAGCAAACGTACGGTGTCCAGGGCTCAGGTGAAAAGCAGGGCTCAAATGGTCAAAGGGTGAAACATCCAAGGTTCCTTTAACGCAAACTCCAAGAATCAGCCACACAACTTCAAACTCCAATGACAAAGAAAGATGCGCGAGCGTGGACCTGAGACCTCAGCCAAACCACAGCGAAGTACGGTATTCATTGGAGTCATTGCAAAACAGCTAGGCTCAGGAAAATTCTCGGCTGAGACCCCGTGGCGGACCCAAAGGAAAAAAATCATGAGGTGTTCCAAAAATACAATGGCACATCCTTGACTCCACGGTGGTTACACACCCACACTAAATTTAACATAAATAATACACGTACAAATTATATAAAAAGTATATAGCATAGAGAAATATATACGTAACATTAGTTATATATAGGATTTTCTGCTCTTTGGATGCGCTTGCTTTGATAGGACCGGGAATCTCAGCCATCTACTCAATTCAGGAGTCCACCAGAAGCAACGCACCCAATTTTATTGTTTCACCCACTCTAAATGTCTCCAATTCCTCAGGCTTCACTGCTTCGAGTTGCCTGCACTACGGCCCTATTTCAATTCTGGTGCTTGCTTGCTTATGAAGAGAGCGAGAGAGAGAATGAAATAATGAGAGAGAGAGAGAGAGAGCGAGCGGCAGCGACAAAGTACACATCTTTCGCACGTTGGCAATTTCTTTACCAACGTGCCACCTTTGAGTATTATAGACTCAAATAATGAGTCAACCCTCTATCTGAGTGTTCATCTGCATTTCCTCCGTCTACCGGGAAAAAATATCGCGGTCGCTGCACCTTTGGCAAGCCCACCAAGGTTGGGGCTTCCTGGAACCATTTCCTGTGCAGCGGTACCGTCGATCGACGACACTGAGATGGTACTGACAGTGCCACTCGCGTGACCCAGTGGCGCCCTGAACCCCCTGGATTAGACCAACATGGAACCTGAACATGGGTCTCGGAACCAGGGCATAGATGTAGTTTTCACATGTGTTCACCCCCTCCCGTTTTTGCATGGAAACCAGGCGAATTTCAGTTTGCAGGGCAACGTATGATACGGCTACCGTGTCCGTCTCCACAAAAGCAAAGGCACGTTGCTGTATTTTGCAATCATATTCGGCTATCCAAAACAGATACTTCCTTGACTTCCTTGTCAAAAATCAAACACGTAATTTGCGACCAATTGGAGATGTCGGGCAAACGACACAAAATTATCATTCAACCGTCCCAAAGCACGGTGGACAGGAAATCAGGCCATGCAACCTATTGCAATTCTAATGGACGCTACTAGGAGCAAAGGGCATCGCTACTAGGAGCAAAGGACGCTACGACTGGGGCTCCTGACCTTACTACTAGGAACAAGAAGCTATTAGAAACAAGAAGCTACTAGGGGCTCCTGGCATCGCTACTAGGAGCAAGGACACTACGACTGGGGCTCCTGACCTTACTACTAGGAACAAGAAGCTATTAGAAACAAGAAGCTACTAGGGGCTCCTGGCATTGCTACTAGGAGCAAGGACGCTACTAGGGGCTCCTGACCTTACTACTAGGAACAAGAAGCTATTAGAAACAAGAAGCTACTAGGGGCTTCTGGCATCGCTACTAGGAGCAAAGGACGCTACGACTGGGGCTCCTGGCCCTACTACTAGGAACAAGAAGCTATTAGAAACAATAATGCCATTGGTGGATTCGAATTGTGTCTTTGCTGTGATGGTGTCTCTGGGACCTCCTTAGAAGGAGGCCGACTCTGAACATGCATGCAGACATGCGTTGTCTTGGTGGCGGACATGCGGTGTCTTAGTGTTCGTTTGGCACCTCTTGTTTTTTCTGGATCAAACGGTCTTAGGGGGCCTCAGGGACTTGGAGTGTTTGAGACCGCTTCGGGTGACCCCTTTTTGGAGTGCGGCCAGTACATAGATATTTTCGCATGGCCCTTGATGGATGACACACTTGGCAGTTGAACAAACAACAAAGAACATGTTGATATCAGGTCTTGGTCTTGGTTTGTTCGGTCTTGCTTCGTCTGGGATCGGCTCGGTATGATTTGTGACCTTGTTCTGGGGCCGTTGACAAACCCGATGAACATATTCCCCAGTCGTTTAGAAATATAGACTTAGACTTATAGTGGTTTCAATGACTGGTCAACGGTCCGCCACGAACATAGACTTAGTTCTCCAGAGGTCTGGAAGGAATCGTTGACGGATTCGGCGAAAGGACCCAGGAACCCATCTCTTTCGCCCCCATTTGCAGCACCAAACGAGGTGCGGAATGCCCTGTCCACACTTCTACGGCAATCTGGGCTAAACTTGGGCTCTGGGATGTGCTGGGGCGTAATTACTCGTAATTACTTCTATGTGATACCGCAGAACCTTGGAGCCCGCACGGGTTCATCTGTTCATCATCCCACAACCATTTCCTCGGCGCAAAAAGCGAATCCTCTCTTCAAAAAAAACACGAGCACGCGTACAAACACGCATATAAACGGTACAATATAAATTATGTCTTTATAGTAATTTGTAGGTCGTCATGTCAAATGTGTCTTTCCAAATTGAAACAACACCTAGGTCGTCTGAAGTAACGAAAACTGCTTGACGTCGCATAATTTCTTCATGTTTTCTCAAAATGCAAATTTTGAACACTTCGTGCGCCAAAGCCCTGGTTTGCTTTGTTTTGTTAAAGCATTAGGTCGGGGAAGACCTGGGGGGGGTCGAGCCTAGACAGGGGCCTCAAGAAATGAATTTCAGATGGTTCGGCTGCAAAAAGTTTGAGAATCATGTCTTGAGCGGAACATTTTAAACAACAACCATCGTACTTTGGTCACATGTCATGAAGGCGGTCCCACCTACCTAGCTGCAGTGCTGCTGTTCCGTTTCTCCTTTGGTTCACATTTGTCACCTTGCGGTCCTGGTCAAACTGCATCGGTGGCACAGCGACTTGCCCAACCTTTTCCGGTACACAAAAGCCTCAATTCCGAAACTTAGGTCGAATATACAGTGACGTCGGGTGATGTCGTACAACTCAGGCAAAAAAACATATATATACATATATATATTACATATATATATATATATCCGGACAGTCCGGACGGGTTCACTTTAGACATCTTTAGACCCTGGGATGTTTGTGAAGTTCACCTCATGTTTTGATGTTTTTTGTTATATAGTTGGGAAGACAATAATGTGGCCCTCAGATTTATAAACCCCCCTAGAATTATGTCTTTTTTTTTCCCTGCACTGAGTTATAAAGGCCCCTAGAATAATGTCTTATTTTTTGGAGGGGTAGTTGTAGTGGATTCTTTTTTATTGTTATAGTTTACTTTTTCCCTTTTGAATTTGCTGGGATTTGCTTATCTTACAGGCTTTTGGATTGAGATTTCTATTGAACATTTGGAGATTTCCATTGAGATTTGATTCTTTTGGAGGCTTTTGGATGGAGATTTCTATTCAAAAATTTGAGATTTCCATATGCTTTTGGAGGCTTTTGGATGGAGATTTCTATTAACAAATTTGGAGATGTTCATCGAGATTTGATGCTTTTGGAGGCTTTTGGATGGAGATTTCTATTGAAAATTTGGAGATTCTATTTTCCTAAGCTCTTTAGTTGTGAAGCTTTCCAAAAGTTTCCAAAAGTCAGTGCGCACTTTCTTTATAAAATCCCTTATTTAAAAGTATTAAAAAA